GAGGCGGGGAGTGGGCGTGGCCCGGGAGGAGCCGGAGCTGGGGGCGGGGCTCACTCTCCGCGGAAGCCGTAGTAGCTGCCGAGGACGCGCTTGTACTCCTCGTGCGCGCTGAACTGGATCGCTGCGTAGGGCACCACGCGCACCATGGTGGCCGAGTTCCCGCGCCACAGACTGAGGAAGCCCTCGTTGAGGTAGGTGAAGTAGAGCAGCCGGAAGGCCTCCTGGGGGGAGGAGGGGTCATCCTTCCGCCCCTTTCCCACCGGCTGGCCTCCCGCGCTGGCTCCCTGCCCAAACCCTGTAACCGAGCGTGAAGCTGGAGCCAGGCTTGCGGGGCGGGCGGAGCGGAGCAGAGCTCCGCACGGGGCATTTCTGTGGGTGTCTGGGGGAGCGCATAACACTCTAGCAGGCTGAGGCAGGAGGGTCCGGAGTTGGAGCCCAGCCTGGGCAACTTAGTAAAATAAAAATGAAGTGTTTAAAAGGAGGCTGTGGATGTAGCTTAGTGAAAAGGCCCTGGGTCCCATCCCCAGGAGGATAGAAAGGACGGACAGTTCCTTATGTAGCTGGTGGCCCTGGCTGTATTTGACAGTAAATCACAGACGAAGACTAGGCTTGAGAATATCAAGTCCCCGACTCCAAAGGTGCGTTAGGACCTCTCGTTAATTCCCTGGGTAGAAGGCCAGGCTGCGTGTCCCCAAAGCCCTGGGTGCTGGGGTGGGACTGAAGGGAAAAGCAGCTTTGCCTGATCACCCTCCTTCTGCCCTGCTGCCCAGGCCCAGGGCCGACCCAGCAGCTCACCTTGGCAGAAAACCTTTTTGAAGACACTGGAAGAGAAGAGGAAGAAAAAAACAAACTATGATAGGAACGCTTGAGACAAAGGACAGAAGCCCAGTCTGTGCCCCTCAGTAACGGGGGTCTGGTGGGGGGTGAGCCCGGGGCCCCCCCAGCAGGGACCTCATCTTTCAGCCTTGTCCCCAGGGAGGGGACGGAGCCAGTACCCAGCACCCCAGGATGGCAAGGGGCTCCGGCAGGGACCACGTGAGGCCAGATCTCCACACTCTGCACCCCAACCCTGCCTGGAAGGTTGCAGCCGCCAGCCACCAAGGGGCTCGGTGGCCCTGGCTCCCAAGCCCGTGGGTCCCAGCTGTCGGCCAGGGCATTCCTGCCTCTCCTGCGCGGCCCCCATTTGATAGATGAGGCCCAGCGAGGTCACAGGACTGGGTGATGCAGAGGCCCCGCTCAGCGTGCCACCCACTGTGTGACATCCCCTGCCCGAGCCTGGACCCGAAGTGGTGACTGTGGCATCTGGTGACACTGACACTGTTTTGCTGCAGGTGGGGCCCGAGATAGTTTCCCCTCAGGGTTGAGCGGCAGCCCCTCCCAAGTCATGCCCACGGCATCAGCCTAGTGCCCGTGAAGGGAACTTTATTTGGAGACAGGTTCTCAGAGAGATGCGGTCACCAGCCCAGACCCCCCGCGCCCCCCCCCCAGCCCCAAGCTGGAAGAGGCAGGAAGGGCCCTTCTGGGGCATGTGGAGGGGCAGGGATCTGTGACCTCCCCGATCTCCAATTCTGGCCTCCTAATGGGACAGAACCAGGCTCCCTGGTGGACAGTATTTAGGGAACCAGCTACCAAGTAAAGTTCATGGAGGTGCTGGGGCCCTGGGGGGCGGCTTCTCTGTGGTGGGGACAGGACAAGCGCGTACCTTGGAAGATGATCTTGGTCCGATCCAGGGGGGCTACTGCTGTCTTGGCGAGTGCACCAGCCAGCGCACCGGACAGCAGCGAGCTCAGCACTTGCCGGTGGTCACTCTGCAGGGGACGGGACAGGTCAGCACAGGGCAGGACAGTCCTCTCACCCTCGCCCTGGCTGGCTGCGCAGCCGCCTGAGCAGTGTGGCCCCACTGGTCCTGGGTGCGGCAGGACACAGCCAGGGCCCCCAGGTGACAGTGGTGTCCATCCCTGGCCTCCGACGGCCACAACTCAGGCTCCTGGTTCTTGGGCCACAACTGGGAGGACAAACCGGATGGGAGAACCTTGGTTCCCACCCACTCCTTGTGCCTGACTGTGGACCTGGGATGTTTTATGGCCATGTCCCAAGGGACTCTGAGGGCTGGCAGGAGAGCAGACCTGACTGTCAGCATGGTCCCATTCTCTCAGCACTGGGGACTGAACCCAAGGCCTTCACACTGAGCTACAAACCAGCCCGCTTTGTTTATTTTTCTTTGGGACAAGGTCTCACTATGTGTTCCAGGATGGCCTTGAACTCCTGGCAATACTCCTGCCTCAGCCTCCTGACTGCTGAGATGACAGGTATGCACTACCATGCCTGGTCCAGTTCCCCTCCCCTTTAAGTTTCGAGATAGTCTTTTTTTTTTTTTTTTTTTTTTTTTTTTTGTACCGGGTCCTTGTGCTTGCGAGGCAGGCGGTGGCACACTGAGCTAAATCCCTGGCCCTAGAGATAGAGCCTTTGTAATTTGCCCACCTGCAAAGCCTGGGCTCAAAGTTCTCACCCTCCTGCCTCAGCCTCCTGGAGTGCTGGGATGAGTCAACACCCCTTCCCTGAGCATGGGCAGGTGTGGGGCATGGAGATGTTGCATATCTCCATCTCCTCCTCCAGAGGACCTCCTGGGCCCCAGGTAGTTCTTAAACTCCCGCTCCACCTGTGGGGCAGGAGCACAGCATCCCTGACCTTTACTCCCAGGCAGCTGCCAGCCCTGCTGGGAACCAATCGCTTCAGGCTCTCCTTGATGGCTGCAGTTTATTCTGGGTATGCGGCTCAGGTGAGCAGAGGGCGCCACCTCAGTAGCTGTCAGTCATGGCCACCACTGGTGGCTCCCAAACAGGCCACAAATGGGAAAGATGCTCAGTTCTTTTTTGAACACTAGGTGGCGCCGTGTGGCCTCACTGGCTCAGGTGATCCTCCTGCCTCAGCCTCCCTAGTCACTGGGACAAGGGCTGCATAGCCATCCTGTGGGTGAGCAGACTGAAGTCTGTGGCTACACAGTCTCCACGTTCCACTGCTCAGGCCACTAAGTGGATGGTTCTGCCCGAAGGGGACCTCCCCAGGCTCCTGGGCCTTTCTCCCTCCCTGCTGCCCCAGGAGTCATCAGGAACCGGGGGAACGGTGAGGAGACCGGATGACACTGGCACAGCCTTTGATCCCATGGACTTTGCCAGCTGCCGGCGGGCGGGGCCAGCGACGGGTGCTGCTCTGGCCCTGGTGTGGGGCTGTGGGGCTGGGCCAGCCTGTGTTCCCGGTCCCTTCAGTGAAGGACAACTGATTTCTTTATCCCCCTGGTACTGGGGATGGAGCTCAAGGCCTCTGAACCGAGCTACATCCCCATTTTTTGAAAAAAAAAAAAAATTGGGGGGTTTTGTTTAGAGACAGAATGTTGCTGAGTCACTAAGCTGTCCAGGCTGGGCTCAGACCTGTGACTCTCGCCAGGTGTCTGGATTCCTGTCACCTGCGGGGCTTCTGATGGGAGAGGGGCGGCCAGTGTCCCCCACCCTGTGACCGCGCGCTGTGGGGACAGCCAGGACGGAGTGGGGGTGAAGACACGCGACCTCCGGCAGGGGCGGCCGAGGGGCACACGCAGGGGCGGGCCACTTGCCTTGGGGGAGGGCAGGATGGCGTCGGAGTCCTCGCGCAGGCGCACCGCAGCCTCTTTCACACCACTCCCCATGCCGGGCGCTCCTGCTGGGCGGCACCTCGTCCTGCGGGGAGCGGGCTGTGAGCAGGCGCCCTTGCCCAGCTCCGATGCCACCGAGCCAGGTGGCCGGCTGCCTCGCTGACAAAGGCCATCCTGTCACTCCATGTGACCATGACAGTCTGTTCCTTTTATTCATTTATTTATGGTTTTGGTACCAGTGATCAAACTCGGATCCTTGCGCAGCAGTGGAACCGCCGAGCTAAGTCCCCGGCCCAGCCCTCACGATGGTCTGTTTCTAACCTGGGACCATCAGGCTGGACTGACACCACTGTAGGCGGTGGCTGTGGGACAGGATGGACGTCCACTCCGTCTTTGGCAGCATGGCTGAGCCTGCAGTCTGGGGACGCATCTGTCACCACCAGGCCAGAGTGGGGGCTTCCCGGGGACCCTCGCTGACTCTCCCCGCAGAGCCCCTGAGCAGCTTGGCCTGGCCGAGGGACCCAGAGGAAAGGACACGGACCGAAGGGAGAGCCAAGATCTCTGGGCCCACGCTTTTGAGCTGTCCAGGGAGCAGGCCGGGTGCAGCTCAGTGGCAGAGCGAGGCCTAGCAGACCTGAGACTCTGGGCTCAGTTGCCAGCACCCAAAACTAAAAATGTCTAAAAACTTAATATGAATTACAAGGGTGTGCTCCCAGAGGCATTCCCAGGGCCATCCATGCCGGAGTACAATATACTAAGAAAACAGCCAAGCATGGTGGCTCACGCGGGTCATCCCAGCACCTGGAAGGCTGAGGCAGGAGGATCGAGAAAGTTTGAGGCTAGCCGGGCTACAAAGGGAGACCATGTCACAAAAAGAACCAAAAAATTAAACAAAACTCTTCAACCAACAGAAGGAGCAGCTTCTAGGCTGCCTCTTTCAGCCCCAAGGGATGCCCCGGGTCTGTCTTACCCCATTCCACCACTCAATGCCTCCCCAACACTGTGGACCCCGGCAGCGCCCTGGGATCCGATACACAGGCGTGCATGGTACTAGACTCCCGGTGCCTGGTGTGGAAGGTGGCCGGCTCTGCAAGGTGGTGGTTTCCATACAGCAGTCGTCCTGAGGAAGGCTTTAGCTGACCGCTGTCCCCGGCGAGCGACAAAGGTGCCAGAGGAGTCTGGCTTGTGGTCAGCACGCCTGCCGCCTGCAGCCCCCTCCTGCAAATTCCTGCGATCACCCTGCTCCTTACAGGAAGACCAAAGTCAAGGCCGGCCCTGGTGGTGTGACCAGGCCACCATGCAGCCGGGGTAGAGCCACACAGGCACCCCGGGAAGGTGCCTGCCAGGAGGGGCCTCTGGGGCCCTCACTCTTCCCCTGCTCCCCGTTTCTGTGTGGTACCCAAGCCCTTTGGACTGAGCCCCATTCTTACCACTTTTTAATCCCTAACTTTAAGACAGGTTCAAACTTGTGATCCTCCTGCCTCAGCCTCCTGAGTGCCAGCATGACTGGCATGGGCCACCATGAATCTGCCATTTGGAAAAGGGCCTTTGCAAGTGTGACTGAGGGAAGCTCTTGTGACAGTCACTGTAGATTTAGGGTGCCCATCACAGTCAATGACGGAGGGTCGGTAGGAGAAACAAACGGAAAAGCTGAGGAGGGGCCAGAGTGTCCTGCCTGGAACAGCCATCTGCTTGGCCCAGCCCTGCTACCTGCCTTTCTTCAGAGCCTGGGCTCAGCACCAGGGCCAGAACTACAGGATAGAAGGTGTGTGTGCATTTGGGTATTGGGGGATTTTTTTTTTTTTTTT